GTTTACGCTGATGAATGAAATCCTATAGCAGTGAAAGAAAATATATAATAAAAAAGTTAAAGGACCGACATCTTTGCAGCAAAGTGAAATGTAATCAACACCATCTGGTGAATATAGTACAGAAGCACATTTAACCTCTGGAAATAATTGAACAACTAGAAGAGAATTTGCTGTGGTACCTGACCTGCGACGCAGCTAGTGGTTCTAAAGTTTCTGAGACTTAAGGTTATCTCAACATTTTATGATACATGGATTGAAGGAGTATCTTACACAACAGCCAACAATACGGAGCTAGGTTTTCTGACCACATTCTCGCATAAAACATTGGTATAAACTCTGCACTGTCAATGTCAGGAAGAAAACTCTGTCGGTGAGTTGTAGATTTTCATTAGGAAGAATAGTTCTGGATATTGCTAGACTCCTCTCCAAAACCAAATATGCTAATCATTATATTATAGTGGGTTAAGGCGTATGCACTGATTGATATTTTGTCTCAAACAATTGCTGAAAAATTAGCTAGACAGTAGATGACTCACTTTAAAAGACCGGTGTTTGATAAATTGTGGAAGTTATTGTGTGTGTGTGTGGCGAAGACTCATTTTCAGTCTGACGGTTAATGTAAAAAGAAAAGTTATATTCCCAGTTAATGTCTTCATGGCCCAAACATGCTGTAGAGTTGTTAAAATGTTTGCAGAATCTGTAAAAGCAGAAAAGGAATTACGATAAGCTTCAAGATTTACTTTGTTTTGAATTTCACGGAAAGCTGCACGAGGGTTATCTGGGCTAGCCGTCCCTAATTTAGCAGTGAAAGAAGGCAGCTAGTCGCAGCACCACCAACTCTTGGGCTACAAATTTACTCACGAATAGTAGGTTTGACCGTCACATTATGACGCCTCCACGGTTGAAAGGGCGAGCATGTTTGGTGGCACGGGGATTCGAACCCCTACCCTATGTAGTTGTTGTGTCAGAAACCGAAAGTTTGAAAGAAATTAAAATTTTTATCATTTCTAAGCTTCAAGTAAATCACAGCTAGTTCAAGGTAGTAATGCTGTCTGCTTTTATAAGTTAGTTAGAATAATTAATTTATGAAACAATTGCACATGGCCTAAAGCTTAAAGTTTCAGACTAGTAATCCCAACGTTTCGGGTTTGAGACCAACTACTAAGAAACACGATTAAAACGTTCGACTAGTGTGTTATAAAAGTGATACTCTGTCCCATTATTCGGTTAAGAGTAGCCACTTTACACGGTGGGTGCTGCGGACAAATTGCCTTACCTTTAGCTTGCACTTTAGAATTAGTAACGGCCAAAGTTGAACGACAGGGAGATAACTTTATTTATTCTTCTTTCTGCGTTATTACATGAAGTCCATGTTGAAATACGAACATACCGCAAACATAATTTGAAAGATAGATAAATAATCATAAAATTCACGAAAGTGATTATACATACGGTTCAGATATTACTTAATTTTCATTTAACTTTTTCTTTCCTAAAATTACCTAATGTGTTTCATGAACATTGTTATTAAAAACGACCGATTGTCATCTCATTTTTCTTTGTTCTAGAACAGTTTATTGGGTTAAAACCTGACCTGAGGTTTTCATTTTGTGATTTAGACGATGTGAGAAACATGAACAAAGACATATCGATTTCAATGTTTTGACCACCTGCAATGTTTGTCTGCGAAATCGTTGATAAACTTCTGCACTTTAAATATTTAGCTGAGATGTCGATATTCAGTTCCACTTATCGGACAAAGCTTGAAGAAAAATTCACGATTTTCTCTTAGAAAATGCCATTTGTTGAGATAATACTTGCAATCTACTCGAACAGGATCTCGGACAGCTGACCTTTTTCATAATAGTCAAATAACATTATATAAAGGACAATACTTTTTAATAGTAAAAATATATATACTGTGTTATTGTTGGGCTTAGGATTCTTCTACAGTAAGTGTCTATGATTTGTTTATTGATAAATTCAACGATGAATAAACAACAGCACTTCACTTGTTTTCAAAATAATATATATATTCAGAACAAGTTAACATATATATATATACAATAAATCCTCCAACACTATAGATATTATGGACATATCATAAATACTATATATGTAGTT